GGGTTGCGAAAACACCTAAAATGGGTGAAGCTTCACGGTGACCTTCCCCTAAATGCCTTCACGACGCGGTGCTTATGAGCTTATGCGCATAGGAAAATACCGTTCGCCTTCATAGTCGTCATAATTTAGCACTTCTCTGTCGATAAGCTGCTATAAGCCTTTAAAGCTTTTCTTACCAATTTGATGCGGGGATTAGAAATATGCGCAAGGAATCTCACTGTAAAGAAAACATTTAGATTATGAAAAAATGAGGAAGACATATTGCGTTACTCACTAACATCATGTCCGTTTTTCCATCCATCCCTAACCTTTACACCAATGGACGTATTATTAACAAACGTGGTATTAATATTACGCATTCACCAGCACATAGCAATTTTAAGCAATTAAAAGACGTCATGCCATAGACGAAAAATGTGACATGAAATCTCACGGTTCACTTTCGTTTCAATGGCACACCTTCGTTTTGTGCAAAAAAGATTAGTAGATACGAATAACATACATGAACGTCTACTGCCATAAGATATCAAAATGACAGTGTCACAGTGACATTTTGATGGAGTGCATTGTCTTTACCTTTACAGGTCAGTGGTGACTGTATGCCACCTGCTTTCACGGTCGTAACTCTGCATGTCTCTCACAGAATCAATTAAAGGTACACAGAATAAAGAGTAAAAAACTTTTCCCAACGTCCAACAAAGATATTTGCATTTGTAACGGTAATATAACGTGTTTTCTTGAAGGTAAGAACTATTTTTAAATAATATATTACAGAGATTCATTTCTGAGCTTTGAAGGATTAGTTTCGTGCCCATATGCCCATAACTGCATCCCTCGAGATATTAGTCAATTTTCGTAGATAGAAAACGCGATTCTGGCCTGCAGTGGTAGGATGAATTCCCAAAAATTAATGTTCTGAAGTTTCTTCGTAAATACAATTCTAATTTCTTACCGCTGTTCCCAGGTATTATAATCCAACAAATTTCTGAAGGATTTGAAAACTTCCTTCATATACCATATGATTTGTCTTGTAATCTGGAGATAAGACCTAAAGATTTCTCTGCATTTATATTGAGACCAATAACGTTATTAGTATCTAAAATAGCTTCGCCCGATAAATTAAAGTCGACATCATAGTACAGATATAGACGCATTTTTGGGCCCTGCGGACTTTCAGAAGTTTACTCATCGTCCTGATGATGGAGGCAGCAATCACCTCTGAAACGCTGGTAAACTTCTACCAGTCTACACGGCCCTACAACACAGAAGACAGCCACCTTCAAACTCACACACCGTGAGAATATTAAATACTATAAAATTTTGTGTGTAGTCCATAACAGGAATATTCCTCTACAATTAATACAGACACTTTAGAATCATGAGGCAGTTGGGACGTGGGTAGAGAATACACAAGCACGAGTACGACGATGTTGATGAAATACTGTACAACAGCGGAACAGATATCTGTCATCTAAATAAATACTGTGAATCTGCATTTTCTTCATAAATGACCGGCTGATTCTTAAATAATTGTACAACGCTCTTTGAAATTAACATACATGATGCAATGTGTAGCCAATGATTTGAACGGAGATAAATGTAGCTTATTTGAACGAAGTATCCTGCATTGTCCTGGAAAGACAAACAAAAACCAATAAACCTCTAATTGAAGACAGGCTGTAACCCAAATGAGATTCGAACAGGGTACTTTCCGGTCACCAATCTGCTCGGCCTCGCCGTTAAAACGTAGAGTAGTGAAACAAATGATGACGGCAGGACAATGTTGTAACCGACGGTTAAATCCCACAGGCTAATGAATCTTGGAATTCGACAGACACGTTGCTTACAAAGCAAGACGAGAAGAAGAGACATATAGTGGGCTACTGGGCTCTTCGTATACAAAACTGCTATGTGCACAATAATTGTGCAATTGTTTCACAAATTCGCATTGTTTTGGTAATCGTACAAACATTATCGTAAATTTGTCATGCTGGTGATTCTTTTGTTTTATTTCACATGCATCACATAATCTCTTATTTGGATACAGTATTAAGTTATTGTCCTATTTTTCACGGTTTTAAAGTTTTCGTAAATTCACCCCAATAATTTTGAGAGTAAGTGGTCTACTTTTGCAATGAAAAATTGACCATAAGCGATACAATCACTTATCCAAATTTGTTACCATTTCTCCGTCATACCACATTACCCATTTTAGGGTTTCATGAAAGATCGTGCTCAATGCCAGAATTTGGTATTAACGGTGATGAGACTTTAGTTTATGCTACTAGAGAGTTCATTAGTCAGTCGTCTACATTTTTGTATGGGTGTGAAACTAAATCTCCCACCCTAACAAAAAAAACATGGCATTGAGGGTCTGAGATTTGTGACACAACGATCTTATAGGTGTAAGCTTTGAGGTTTCCACAGCGGTGAGTATGAAGATTTCTGTCTTCTGGGTTGTTGCGCTGTGTAGATGAATCACCCTGATGACGGAGGCAGTATGACCTCTGAAACGTTGGTAAACATCTACCAGACTACACAGCGCAACCCAGAAGACAGAAATCTTCATCGCCCTGATGACGGCGGCAGTATGACCTCTGAAACGTTGGTAAACATCTACCAGACTACACAGCGCAACCCAGAAGACAGAAATCTTCATCGCCCTGATGACGGCGGCAGTATGACCTCTGAAACGTTGGTAAACATCTACCAGACTACACAGCGCAACCCAGAAGACAGAAATCTTCATCGCCCTGATGACGGCGGCAGTATGACCTCTGAAACGTTGGTAAACATCTACCAGACTACACAGCGCAACCCAGAAGACAGAAATCTTCATCGCCCTGATGACGGCGGCAGTATGACCTCTGAAACGTTGGTAAACATCTACCAGACTACACAGCGCAACCCAGAAGACAGAAATCTTCATCGCCCTGATGACGGCGGCAGTATGACCTCTGAAACGTTGGTAAACATCTACCAGACTACACAGCGCAACCCAGAAGACAGAAATCTTCATCGCCCTGATGACGGCGGCAGTATGACCTCTGAAACGTTGGTAAACATCTACCAGACTACACAGCGCAACCCAGAAGACAGAAATCTTCATCGCCCTGATGACGGCGGCAGTATGACCTCTGAAACGTTGGTAAACATCTACCAGACTACACAGCGCAACCCAGAAGACAGAAATCTTCATCGCCCTGATGACGGCGGCAGTATGACCTCTGAAACGTTGGTAAACATCTACCAGACTACACAGCGCAACCCAGAAGACAGAAATCTTCATCGCCCTGATTACGGAGGCAGTATGACCTCCGAAACGTTGGTAAACATCGACCAGACTACACAGCACAACCCAGAAGACAGAAATCTTCATCTTATAGGTGATTACTAATGTATCGCGTCCATCATCAAGGTAGAATGAAGTTAAAGGCGATAAAAAACAAACGGCGTCATAGACAAGACCACACTCGACATGAAACTGACAGTGTACCAGAATGTAACAGTGGCTCCACTTCTTCGTTCCATATCCTCCTTCATTTTCTTCCTCCTCTTATTCTTCATCTTACTTTCCCTCTTTCTCAAATGCATCCGTTTTAATGCCCTCTTTTTGCCTCCTCGTGTTTCATCTTCTTATCCTGATTCTTTCTCTTCTGCACAATGCAACTTTTTTCTCCTTCTCCGTTCTCATGTTGTTCTTACAATATTCTTCTCCGCCATCCTAAGAATGAACCAAGAACGTACGAAGCAGCATTTTTAAATTCGAAACGTAACCTAGACGAGGTTTAAAACAGCGGCTCTAGGCATCATAGCGCCATCTTGTAGCAGATAACCATGGGAGGCAGAGGATAACTAGAGCGAGAAAACAAAACACATATCACAGGAAGTCCTGTGTCAGCGAATGACGGAAACATAAGACAAGGAGAAAATTTAGCCATCACCGACTGAGACTCACTCGAACTTCCTAAAATTCCCGACAATGAAAACCAGGATAGCAAGTACAGCAGTCAACCATCAGATTAAGCCGTGATGAAGGAGACAGAGGTAGTCTCCGAAAGGTTAGAAATTCACTCCTTACTGACGAAACTGTTCGCTTGAGAATTTGAACAAAAACTAAACTGCCCATTTCCCATGCTACGGCAACATTTATAAAACACAGCAGTCTCCCAAAGTTCTCCTAATACGTGTCGTTGATTTATTAATTATTTAATTCATTATAATGAATGTGTACCTCTTGCATTAAGTTTTTCATATTATTTTCAACTGGGCGAGGAAAGAATTTAATGCATGGACTTGATAAAACATCAACAAATAGGTTTATTTGGCAGTTGCAATTCCCTCATTCGAATCTTATCAGGCTGCCGTGAATTTCCTCAGTCTCTTCAAGCAAATGCAGGATGGTATCTTGAAAAAGGCTACCATCTCCTTTAAAATCCTTAGCTATATACCATTCCTCACTATTTTTCGTCCTGTTCTACGCTAACGGTCCTCTTCAGTTTAAAGTGTTGTCACATAACCTAACAATCTATCAGTCCGCACAAGATACTATGTCTGAGATGAGATAACTACCGGTAATGACTGGATGATTTCTAGTTGTCAGGGATTTT